CAAAATTTTTCTCATTAGTAATTTGGAATCTGGTTAACTGAAGCAACACAATCACTTTCAAACATATGGTGTTGTTGAAGTCAACACTGAAAGGCAAATCCTGACATTCTCTTTTGTGGCTTTATCCCCCAGGGAAAGTGGGAGCTCAAATAGTCAACTGTGAAGTCATCTAATTTCCTATGTATATGTATCCCTGGTATACAGCTCTGGTACCATCTGTTTGTTCCTTCATTCTTCCAGCTTTGGAACATTTTCATTTGGGGCCCAAATTTTGCTGTTTGGGTCTCCCTGAGGGTCAAAACAGACAAGATGCTAGGAGATCCGTGATCAGATCTTCCCGGTGATTTTTTTTTGAAGTGCAGCTCTACAGGGCCTCAAGTCTGGAGAGTAGCCAAGCACATGGGAAAGAAGGGATTCAACCCAGAGTGAAGCTTGACCTGGAGAAATGTTTGGGAATATAGACTCTTATTTAATATCCAGTCCCACTTGGAGAAAAAAAACGAAGGTAGAAAATAATTGAAAAAGTTACATGAGAATAAACCCTATGTACACTGAGCCCTTAAGTACATGCTTTACTTTCAAAGATTTAACTAATCTCTAATCTTTTACAGCACAATCCTAAATGCAGTTACACCCTTCAGTGGACTTAAAAGGGTGTAACTCTGTTTAGGATTGTACTGTTCATTCTTTATTGTGTTTCTTTCTTGCCTGCTTTCCTTCTGTTTCTTTTCTCACTGCTGGTTTTTGCAAACCACACTTAGGCTGCCTGGGCCCTCTCTGTCTTGTTATCTAAATTAGTCATCCTGTTTAGGAAAAGATTCTTAGCTGATATAACCAGATCAGTTTCACTGATGCCATAGTATCCTGCTGACATACAGCAACTAGGGACTGAGCTAGCAGTTGTGAAGGTGGGCTATGCAGAGTACACTGAAGCAGTTGTGTGCTTGCTGCACCTTGTGCCACACTCTTAGCCAATTTGGTGTAGTGGTTAAGTGTGCAGACTATAATCTGGGAGAACCGGGTTTGATTCCCCACTCCTCCACTTGCAGCTGCTGGATGACCTTGGGCAAGCCATAGTTCTGTCAGAGCTGTTCTCTCAAGGACAGTTCTGGAAAGAGCTCTCTCAGCCCCACCTACCTCACAGGGTGTCTGTTGTGGGGAGGGGAAGGGAAAGGAGTTTGTAAGCCGCTCTGAGACTCCGAGTAAAGGGTGGGGTATAAATCCACTCTCTTCTCTCTTCTTCTTAACTACTTTTCCATGCCAGAGCCTAGTTTAGAAGACATTAGGTAAAGAGGGCCCTGGCCAAAATAGCCCTGGCTAGCCTGATCTTGGAAGCAAAGCAGGGCCAGTCCTCGCTAGTATTTGGATGGGAGACCTCCAAGGAATACCAGGGTCATGATGCGGAGCCAGGCAATGGCAAACCACCTCTGAACATCTCTTGTCTAGAAAACCCTATGGGGTTGCCATAAGTCAGCTGTCACTTGACAGCACTTTCCACCACCACCACCACCAGAGAAAGAGGGGCCTATTTAGCTCATAAAACATCTGAAAGCTAATAAAATGGTGGCACAAATTGAATTGGGTTGCAAATCTAAATTTTGCTCAGCTCTGCATGTTCTCTCTCAATTCATATACTCAGGCTGTCAATATGTTCTTGTAAACTGGCCCTTGTGCTCTAGTTATTTATATATTTAGCATGATGCAGGTAATGCATGTCATAAATAAAGCTGCAATCCCATAACTTAGAAGTAGCCCTCCCTGAAATCAGTGGGAACTGTCTTTTGAATAAACATGCACAGGATTGGGGTTGCGCATCCCATTCCATTGCTTTCAGTGGGATGCACAGCATGGGTGTATACATAATGGCTACAAATCAGCCCCATTAATTGTGTGAAATATGCTCCCACATAAACATGTTTAGGATGACACCCTTAGTTGTAACTAACTTTTGCTGGGCTGTACCCATTTATCTCCATTGGCACTAAGGTCCATTCATTCTGGGTAGGATCCTCATGCAAGGGCTCTAGTGTTGTCTGCTTCAGTGCTATTATCCTGGTCTGTGACTCTTCTGCAAACCTCATGATACATTGAGGTGAGAAGTGGCATAACAAAGCAGAGACACTTTAATCCCTCACTTAAAGCCCTCACAATTGTTAAATATTTGCAACAAAGGGAATCCTTGTGATTTGTTGGTAGCTGCGATGTCAAGTTTTGAAGACAAGACTATTTCCCCGCTGGGAACATGCTTTGACATTCTGCTGGTATTCAATAAAAAGGCAATAGAAATATCAGCCGTAATAATTACTGTAAGGTCTGTTTCAGTGCTGAAAGGAAGCCAAGGAACAGATTCCTACATAAGGCCTGAAACTGAGCAGAAAAGAACAGCAGGGCTCAGAAGGAACAGCAGTAGATTAGCTAAATTCCCCCATGGAAAGTTTCCTTCACTGAAGCTGAACTGTGCCAGTAATGCATAGACATTTGCTGGGATTCCCAGGTCTCTGCCAGTGCCTACACACAGCTCAATATCTGGTGGTAGAAACTGGGCAACTGCCCACTTCTCCTAATACATAGTCAAACAGGACTGCCGAGACATCCCTCTTCTATTCTAGTGCTTAATTTTCTTCTAGGAATTAAAAAGTTAAAAACATCTGCTACAGCTTCTGTGTGGAGCCAGAGCGGTTTGACATTAAGTGAACCCAATTAAATGAATTCTTATTTTACACTTGTTTAAAGAACTGAACCAGCCATCTTTCTCATGTGTGTTGCTGTGTTCTCCAACCAACATCAGTGGAAGTGTGGTTTGACACCACTTATAGTGGCTCTATGGCCGAGTTCAGACTGGCAGTTTGCCCCAATATAGGGACAAGCCAGAAACATTTCACAAACAGATTAAAGGAGCCGTTCACACAGGCACATCTGTCAGGTGTTCCCCAGCCATACTCAACCCGTCTTGTAACGCTTCCCTCCCAAGTTTAAAAGATACAAGGTGAAAGTGGTATCAAACCCTGGAAAACGCGATTATCCCCCATCCATCCTGCTTCCCGGAAGTGTGAATGCGAAAAGCCTCGATCTGGTAGGGATGCGCTTATGCGCATGATAAGCGCACATGACCGGATTACCAGAAAAAGCTGCTTACAGCTGCGCCTCCAGGCCAACAGTGTAAATGCTCCCTTGCGCCTCCCTCCCTGGTATGCTCCCGCCTCAGTCGGTGCACTGTGACCGGGAAAATCCGGAACAGTCTTTTTTGCCACGGGTCTTTTTTGCCACGACTCCCTCCCGCTTCAAACTGCCAGTCTGAACTCAGCCTATGTATCTCAAACCAGGCATGGAGCTACATTAAGGTACAGCAGATTCAGCAGCTACAGAAACGGACCCAAATCAATCCTAAATATCACTGGTTACCAAATGTGTTCCATCTTGATGTGCGTGCATACACTCTTATAAATGTAAACCGTCCTGAAGCAGATTTAAACCTTCATGGCTTTCTCCAAAGAAGTCTAGAAACACAGTTTTATGACAGTGGCGAGTTCCCTAGCAAATATTAGCTCCCTTTACAGAATTACACTTCTCTATGTTCCTTGTCTGGGCACCATGATCATCAATGTGTGAAACTAAGCTGATAAGTGCCAGTACTGAGTATCAGTGATAATGTGTCTGAAGCAGTACCACTGATTTTCTGCTTAGAGTCCCCCCAAGACAGTACCAGTAACAAAGTTACTTCCACCTCTAAGCAGGTTTAGATTTGTAGAGTAAAATAGCCTAGTTTATACTATATGAGGCCACTTTCTGGTTATGCATCTTTATCCTATGTTTTCCCAAGAAGAGAAGATATCTTACAGTGCTTTGTGTTACAGGGTTCAGGGCTACCTACGGAATACTAAGTGAATTAGTGGGGAACTGTGAAACATTCATATTAAAAACAATGGAAATTGTTTTTTCTCTCAATATCTTTAAGAAATGTTCTTTATTTCAATAATTTGCAGCGCACTACAGGAAAAACAAACATTCATGAGGAAAAAATGTGGAACAATACTAACAGGTGATGTTCACAGTAACTCCAATATGGTTCCCTGTTGTCACCAAGGAAACCAAAGTTTGATTCCTAAAGGGATTTCCTTGGAGCCTCTCAGCCGGCAGAGTGGGTGGAATGTTGAATGTTAACACTCTGACATGTCTTGGGGCCAGCAAGTCATAAGATGATTTGGCTTTGAGCTAAGCTCAGCCACCTGCCACCATGAAAATGGCTCGAGGTTCTTAGACACAGCAAAGGATTTGATCCCTCCCGGGGGTGTGGTGACACTGTGCTTCCCAAATTCTCTTTATAGCACACAGTGCGATTTTGATGCCAGTGGAAATTACCTGCCATGTCCTGTTTTCAGAACAACTTGTTCATTGTGATCTGTGAGACACTGGAGCTGTGTGGCTACAACCAGATAGCCACAATATGTGCCCACCGAATCAGGATACTACATGATATGCTGTTTCACTGCATCAGAGGCTGATTGACAGCAGCTCTCTAAACCCTGACAGAGAAATAAAGGGACCTGATGAGTGATGGAAATGCAGAGATATTTCAATAATAGGTGCTCCTATCTGGCCCACAGATTGTTTTAATTTGTACAACTGCATTCATAGCCCCATGGAGATCATATGGGGATACACTACACAGAAACCCAAACAACGGAGAATCCCCTCCTTGTTAACTGTCTTAAATTAATTAGTTAAGCACCAGTGCCCTGGGTTTCAAGCATCTTAGAGACAACAGCTGCCCCCACAGCAGGGTTTCCTCTTGGCTGTATGCTGCCAATTTTTTTTTTTTTTGGTCATTCCTTCCAAGTGTACAGGGTGTGTTTCTCTATTATTCCATGGAGTGCCCTAATGAAGGAGATGGATAAAACCAGTGCCT